ACGTTATCGCCATGTTTTCAGGGTGGAAATGCTACGTTATCGCCATATTTTCAGGGTGGAAATGCTACGTTATCGCTATGTTTTCAGGGTGGAAATGCTACGTTATCGCTATGTTTTCAGGGTGGAAATGCTACGTTATCGCTATGTTTTCAGGGTGGAAATGCTATTACGTTACAGGAACAGTGCGAATCACCCCTGCCGAATGTTACAATGAGACTAAAGTACCTTGGCTGACCTGACGAAAATTTGCTTTCCCGCCGACGGCGAACCAGGCGTCCTGGGCGTATATGTATATATATATACATAGGGATAGGAACTGGTATGGCCGCAAAGAAGCAAACCTGAACGGCACAAACTGCAGGTGAAGGTCCTACATTGTGGGAGATTGCGCTCAAAGCAACAGATTCGGAGAGGCAAGTCTTCTTGAATGCTTGAAAGTTTTTTTTTGTTGTCCATCGATTCCAGTTGCCGTTGTAACACAAGTGACCGTCTCACTACGCCTGTGTTTTTGTTGCAGTTTTCCTAATTTTTCCTGTCATTGTGGCAACCATTGTGACACCTAAAACCCTGACATGTCATATCAATGTTTTTTTGCGAATTGCTGTCTTGAGTTCAGAGTGGCAGGCATCTTGAGGTTTCACTTTATCCTGCTACTCTCCTGTGCAAATGCTGCAAATGAGTTCTTCGCACCTTGAGAGGAGCCAGGCACTGGGGCAGTGGTTCTCTGCAGTGAAAGATGCTAAGGCGTGCCGGGGCTCGAACTTTCGGATTTTGGGCCAAACCAGGGACACTCCGATGATTCAGATGTGTAATCCAATCGCAGGGGATCGCGGTCATGCAAACATTCCGCAAGGGTCATGATACCGACCTTGTGACCAAGAGACATGACAGATTGCTCTTGCCATCTTGATTCCATGTAGTCCGTTGCCGTCACGAGAGCGTGATGTCAGCCACATGCTTTGTATGAGTGTATAAGATATCTTTGACTTTTGGAATGCAGATCCGCGTGCCTTCTTTGCCACACTTCCCACATGGCTTTGCCTTGCAGCTTGCTAGGGGCCGCTTGCGCAGCTGCCACTTGATGGCTGCTGGGCGCAATTTGATCTCGCCTCTTAGCAAAGCTTCCATAATTTAGCACCCTCTAAGCCTCGAATATTTTTGGGGTCTTTCTTCCAAAGTGTGTCCTCAAAACGATTTCGTTTTGACCATTTAGGATGATATTTTGCTGACTATCAACATCTCTGAACGCTTTCAACCTCAGGTTTCCTTGCAATGGCCACCTATGCTGATCGAAGGTTTCGGCTGGTATGCGCATGGCCCGTGAAAGCTGCAGAGTGCCCCATTCTTGTCTCAAAGAGGACGGAGCGAACAAAGAGAATAGACGACATGGCTCTGATACTGCGCATAAAGATTCAGAAAAGGAAAAACAAACAGTTTTATATAATTTTATGTAAGTCTAGAAAATGCAGACTTGCGATGAGAGGACACCGTTGCTGAAGCGCATTCAGCGGCTTGAAGCCGCTCTTGCACGCCTGTAGAAATGACAAGATCAGTGCCAGGAAAAACCGTGCTGCTCCTGGGGATGGCTCTTTGTTGGCATTCTACCGTGAAAGATTCTTGGCAAAGCCAAATTTTTGCAAGAGGTTGCAAAATTCCTTCCACGCTGTCGGTCCAGTCATTGAAGACAATTGGGGCTGGAGGCTCTTCATGGCTTGCACAAATGCCGCGGCTTATTCTTTAATTTCGTCAAAACAAGCTCGGGTCCTCTATGCAGTTCTTTTTTCTCTGCCCCTGTCCTCCTTGTAACGTAATTATTTGCAATGTGTCATGGATAAAATGTACTTGGCTGTTTGAACTTGCCATAAGCCCAGCGAGTATTTGCTACTTGCAAAATGTAAGACATGTGCGAACCCTCGTGCTTTGATGTTAGCTGTGCGATTGGGGCGGAGGTAACATGGGAGTTTGCACGATGCCAGGTTTGCATACCACGGTTCCTGTGTGCGCTAATGTGTTCAAAAGCTGCGCACTGCGGTATGGCACACGTAGCAGAGTTTTCCACGCTTGAAGCTTTGTTTTTGTGGTATTTGGCTATTTCATTCCACCTTGAGGATATGGCTTGGAAGCTAGCGACCTGCAGCAGTGCGTGCTAGAGGCCGGAGTTTGGAAGCTTTGAACAAACAGGACATACTGCCATGCTGCGGACCGATTTTACAAGGGAGGACCATGTTTTTTTGGGTTCCTGCTTCTATGCTTTCCTCTTTCTCTGATTTTCTGCTTTTCTGCTTCTCTGCTTACACTGCTTCTCTGATTTTCTGCTTTTCTGCTTCTCTGCTTTTCTGCTTCTCTGCTTATACTGCTTCTCTGCTTTTCCTGCTTCTCTGCTTTTCTGCTTCTCTGCTTTTCTGCTTTTTGCTTTCCCTGCTTCTCTGCTTTTCCTGTTTCTCTGCTTTTTGCTTTTCCTGCTTCTTTGCTTTTCTGCTTCTCTGTTTTTCCTGCTTCTCTGCTTTTGTACTTCTGTGCCTTTCTACTTCTACTATTCTACTTTTTCTTTTCTCCAATCATGTGTTTTTGCTGCTCTACTTCCTGCTCCTTTGCTTTTTGCTTCCTGTCTTTACTGTCTCTTTGTTTTTCATTTTCTTTTGCTTTATTCTGTTCTGTGTGTATCCTAAATGAAACCCTAGAGAGGCCCTAGGTGAAACCCAAAGAAACCCTAAAGAAATCCTGATAAGAAACCCTACATGAAGCCCTAAATGAACCCTAAAGAAACCATAAATGAACCCTAGAGAAACCATAAATGAAACCCTAAAGAAAATTTAAATGACACCCTAAATGACATCCCAAAGAATCCCTAAACAACACTCTTTAAAAAAAACTAAATGAAACCTTAACTGACACCTTAGCTGAAACCCTAAATTGACACCCTAAAGAAACCTTGAAGGAACCCTAAAGGAACCCACTTGAACGTTTAGAAATCCTGATAAGAAATCCCGATAAGAGACCCTACATGAAACCGGAAAAAACTTTAAATGAAACTCGAAAGAAACCCTAACCCTGAAGAAACCCTAAATGAAACCGTAAAGAAAATCTAAAGGAAACCCTAAATGAAACCCTAAGAAACCCTAAATGAAACCCTAAATGAAACCCTAAATGAAACCCTAAATGAAACCTTAAATGAAACCCTAAATGAAAGCCCAAAGGACCCTCGGGAGACCCACATGAACGTTTGAAGCACCAAAATGCAGCAAATACCATGCAGATGAGAGGTTGAAATGCCAAAATGTGACAAATACCATGCAAAATGGAAGGCGAACATGGCCAAATGTAGCAAATACCATGCAAAATGCAAAGTGACCATGCCAAAATTTAGCAAATACCATGCAAAATAACAGGTCCTAGTTCCAAACTGTTGCAACTACAAGGCAAATTGTACCGGGAAAGAAAGCCAAAAAAAAACAAAACCTGAGGCAGAAAAAAATCCAAAAACTATTCTACACCCTTTTACAAGTGACAGTTCTCAGTGTTTGTCTTTGTTCGTCAGTGTTTTGTCAAACATCTCAGTCCTGCAGCCTTCTCTGAAGTTTAGCGGCTAAAAGCAGATACGAAAGGATCGAGAGGCAGGTCTTTCAAGTCATGGCTTGCCCCTGTCCTTCAGGCAGGTGATGGGACGGTCCTTGCTCCTGTGGCGGCTGCAACTGGTGCTATGCTATCTACACAGCTTAGAGGTGTGGAGCCCTGGAGCGCTTGATGACGCTGCAGTAGCAATGCCACAACTTCATAAAATAATGTCATGATATGTGGGAATGAACACGCAATGTGAATAGCAACACGTATAATGCACTTGGGTGGTGGGTGGGTGATCATGCGTACCCTCTCGTCCATTTTGGCTCAAGAGAGGGCACCCACCGCCAAATCTTTCCGTACCAGAGGGCGCAAACCTGGGAATTGTAGTGGGGCTGGCCATCTCAGGCCTTCTGGCCTGGCTCCTGCTGCGCCGCCGTTCCAGCAGTCAGAGGGATGTCATCCGTCTTCCATCTGTGCTGCAGGTGAGCCATGGCGGTGGATCGGACTGAGGATGAGAGGACTGCAATGACCGATGTGCAGAAGGAAATGAAGCGGGCAGGTTTCGATACAGATGACCTGGGAGAAGAGACAGTATATACCAGGATCGTTGTTGAAACTGCTGGGTCTCAAACCAACGTCACTTCCCAGGGTCGTGGGCGCGTTTGGAGATTCAGATCTTCAGGCACTGCTGGCAGCATGGAAAATCCCTGGACAGGCGGGCGTGCCGCCAAGGGTGCGTGTCTTAGCTGAGACCCGCATGGCGAAGTTGTTCTTTCGAGCATGCCAGCTTGTTGCAGGAACTGGGGCCATGCTGCAAGAACTGAAGGCACAGATGTCATCAAGTTCCACACAAGCCCGACGTCACAGACACCACAGACTTCAGGTACTGCAGCGCCACACACGCGCAAAATCAAGCTGAGCTCGATTTTGAGCGAAATCGATAATTCAGAGATCATGGTTGCCGAAGAGAAAGAGGTCCTCAAGTGCTACGGCAGATACGAGTGCTTGGAACAGGGGAACGTCCTGCCAAGGATTGTGAACCCACGGCAGGACAGCGTTGTCGGGGCTGATCCACCTCGTCTCATCCGGACAGCCACCGTACACAGACTTCAGTGTCTTCGGCCTGTTTGGCCATAGAATGATGAAGCGTATCAAGCTGTTTGGATACAACATCGGAGGAGTCCGGAGGAGATGGCACTTTGAGGACTGTGGAGCTCTATGGACCGAACAATCTGGGCACATGGCCTCAGAGTTACAATGTCCTGCTGACGGTTCTGGTGATGATTGATGCCGTGGACTTGGGGCACCTTCAGAAGTACAGAGCTCACATAGAGAGGATGGCCGAGAGGTACGGCACCAGGGTCTGGTCTGTGATATACCAGGCAGACGTGCGATGCCGCCTGGAAAACATGGAGCGGATCAAGCGCAATCTGAAGACAGAGCGTGATGACAAGCGCCCATGGAACATGGCGTGGGCGAAAGCTGTGGCTGACGAGGCGTTCTGGAGATATGAAGTCACAGATCCTTGCATTTTCATCCTCACGAAGATCACATCAACCAATGAGGTCCTCGAAGGCGATGCCAAAGTGGCAAATGCTCCTGCCTCAGCGGCAGGACCACGTGAGACTGCGCCAGCTCCGGCGCGCATGGTCTCAGAGAAGCAGATCCGTCCGAGGAACTCAAACCGTACTGGTCGAGTGCGCAGTATTGGCAAGTACACTCACAACGGCACTGGCTATGCTATTTGCGCGGGATTCAACAGTGGCCAATGCTCCAACAGCACCCCGGGCATATGGTGCCCTCAGCAGTGGGACACGGTCCATCAATGTGATTGCTGTCTTGGGTCACGCTGGAGCACAAGTGCCCGCATACGGAGTTGCAGACTCCTAAATTTAGGGGCATGGAGGCGGACGAAGCGGAAAGAGCAAACGCCTTCCGTACTCACCCACTAAAATGCACTGCATGCAGGACTGCATGGAGGTGGATGGGGAGGATACAGTGTCTTGTGCAGCGTGACATGATGCACGAAAAGGGGGTTTATTAAAAACTCCTTTTAAAGACCCCTTGCAACAACCGTTACTGAGGCTGAAACGTGCCAATTGTGCTGGACTACAGGGACATCTCCCTCATGGACCGTGTGCCTCTACTGTGACATCTCCTGCCAGTGCTGAACAAAAGGGGCGCAACGTTTTCCTCTCCCACTACGCTACCTTTCATCCGCCTCTGCTTGCTCTAAAGTATACGGTGGTCCACATAGGCCGGATGATGGCCTGGCAACCTATGCAAGAAAGCTCGGGGGCGGATTGCACCATGTGATGATGAGCACGACCTCCTGAGTCAAGGCTTTTGGGAGGATCTGAGAAAGATTTTTGCTGCGAGGGACTGGTGGAAAGTACCGTTGCGGTCCAGAAGGCCTGTCTCCAGAAGACACGAAGAAAGTCACTGAGGGAAAGGTGGAAGACCTTATCATGGATGGAGGAGTCACCGGCACAGCCATTTGAACAGCAGATGGGTGACAACAATCCTCTCAGTGACAACAGAAAGCGGAAAAGACCATGAACACAGGAGACGTGGAATCCAGCAGAATCTCACATGCCAGTAAGCATCGATAATGTCCGCAGAGATCAAAACATGCATGCTCTATTGCCTGCACCCGGTCGTGGTTTTAAGGCAAGGAAACGCAAGGTTTTTCTTCCTTTTGTTGTGCTCTGCCTGCTGCCGGTCGCGTGTTGATGAGGCAGGTAACACCAGGTATTTTCTCAGTTGTCGTTTGCACGTTTCTTGTGGCTGCTTCGTCTCATGTTGGGTGCCCTCTCTCTTGGAGAGGGCACAGCTACCCTGACATCTCTTAGATGTCATTCAGGGTAGACAATAATCATGATTATAGATATTTACTAAGGTGTTGTTTTCTCTGCTTTGGCAGTCGGGCTCAATGCCTCTCAGAAGACGGAATGAAAGGGTACAATTTTTGCTTAGTTTACCTTCCAATGACTTGGCTGGTTGGGTCAACGCTCACTCTACCCTGGGGCAAGTATTGGCACCTGGGTCGGTAAAGACTTCCCTTTCTTGCTCCACAGGGGCTGCTTCTCAAGCATTTGGGCACCCAACGGCTGAGGGAGGTAATGAACAGAAAAGACGTAGACAAGATTTTCCCTGTGCTTAGAGACGGGACCGTCGCAACCGAGCCATGGCGAGGCAGGCGACCTGCAGCCCGATCAGATGAGAGGTGCACTTCGGGAACTGGTCAATGACATGTATGCTAGCTCCAGCCGTGCGCCCCGAGATGCCTTACTGAAAAATAGACAAGGTCTCATAACAAATTGTTTGGTCAAGAGTGGCAGTGCTGCCCACTACTGAAGACAAGCTTCTGAAAGTTTCCTCTTTGCTCAAAAGAGGGGGATACAAATCTGTGAAGAACTATTTGTCGCGCATCAAGGAACATCACATTACATCTGGATTTGACTGGAATGATCGCTTGGACTTGATTGCGAAGAAGTGTGCCCGGTTGGTCCTTCGAGGTCTTGGAGGTGCACATCGCTCTGAACCGTTTGACTTGATTGCGGTTTCAGAGACATTGAAACTTTCTGCTGAGCCTCTGGTGCCAAAGGGGCCTATTGATCTGCAGGCACTGATTGTTTCCTCGACGCTGTTCATGTTGAGAGACGTAGAAGCCTCATCCCTGGAGACAAGAGATATCAGAGATATCACTTTCACAGGTGACTCTGCTTCTCTTTGTTTGCCAGTTTCGAAGGTGGACTGGCAGGTGAAAGGGTGCACAAGGACCTGGCATTGCTTGCGTGATCAGGGCTA